GGAGGCGCCGCCGGTCACCATGATGCCCGTCACGGGCGGCACCATCAACATGATGGAGTACCTGCTCCAAGGTGAGCCCGGCCCCGGCCCGCGCTGCCTGGGGCGGCCCGAGCCGCCGGCGTCAGCCCGCGCCCCCGCCTTCCAGCTGGGAAGAAACCGGCTGCGGGTTGGCACAGTGCTCAGGCAGTGCACGAGGTGGGCAGGGCCTGGCCTCAGAGAGACGGGCAGGCTACACGTATTGCACAGTTGAGCCATTAATTGCGCGATGTATGTAACGGGAGGGGCAGGGGGCCCTGGGCGAGCCGCCGGCGTCAGCCCGCGCCCCCGCCTTCCAGCTGGGAAGAAACCGGCTGCGGGTTGGCACAGTGCTCAGGCAGTGCACGAGGTGGGCAGGGCCTGGCCTCAGAGAGACGGGCAGGCTACACGTATTGCACAGTTGAGCCATTAATTGCGCGATGTATGTAACGGGAGGGGCAGGGGGCCCTGGGCGGCCAGACTAACAAAAGCTGGCAGGGCCAGCGCTGACAGGAGCACTGTGCACCTTTAATTCTTCAAGTAATTAAGTTCCCTGCTGCTTTCAGGAAAAACGAGCCTGGTGTTTTAAACCTCAAGGCAACAGACTACTCCCGCGTGAAGCCGGGGTGGAGGAGGGGTTTCTGGGCAATCTTGTGCCGATAGAGGAGAGGGAAGGGTATAGAGGAGAGGAAAGGGCGTGGGTGTTCGTGAACTGGTGAGCAGTGACATTTCCTGTCTGTCTTCTCCAGGGAGCGTTCTGGATCAAAGCCTAGAGAGTCTCCTCCATCGGCTGCGGGGCCTGTGCGACAACATGGAACCGGAGACGTTCCTCGATCACGAGATGGTGTTTCTCCTCAAGGGGCAGCAAGCCAGCCCCTTTGTGCTGAGGGCACGGCGCTCGATGGACAAAACAGGCATGCCCTGGCACTTGCGCTACCTGGGCCAGCCAGAAATAGGAGACAAAAACCGCCATGCTCTGGTCCGTAACTGCGTAGACATTGCCACCTCGGAGAACCTGACTGACTTCCTGGTGGAGATGGGCTTCCGTATGGACCATGAATTCGTTGCCAAGGGCCACGTATTCCGCAAGGGCATCATGAAGATTGTGGTATACAAGATCTTTCGCATCCTAATGCCAGGAAACACTGAAAGTATAGAGCCCTTGTCTCTCTCATACCTTGTAGAGCTGAGTGTAGTGGCACCAGCAGGTCAGGACATGGTTTCTGATGATATGAGGAACTTTGCTGAGCAGCTGAAACCATTAGTGCACTTGGAGAAAATTGACCCCAAAAGGTTAATGTGAATAAAAAGCAGTCATGGGTGTTGCAGACCACTTTGGTTCAGGGTCATAATGACCTGCCTCCTTAAACTGTTCTTACAAAATGCCTCTTGCAAGATTAAAGCTGTACACGCGCACACACACTACCGCTAGAACAGGGAGCATACAATTCCAAGTTTGAAGACATTTAACTTATGTAATACTGCTTCCCCAGTAGCATATGTTTGCATGCCTTTTCAACAGTTGTACTTTTGTTGCTCTTGAATGCTGTAATATTCAGGTTCCAGGTTTTAAAACAATGTTCTCAAGCTATAAAAAAAAAAAGATTCCATCCTGACATCTGGGGTTTTGCAAAAGCTCTTTGGGGGTGGAGAGAGAGAAAAAGAAAAAACAAAACAAAACAAAAATCAGGATTGTTAGCCGCAAGTGTACTTCATAATACTTTAAAATCTGCAGTTAGGAATACAGTCAAACACCTCAGAGTCTGATTGCTTCATGAAAGTCAAGCATCGCAATGCCCAACTGTTGCACATGTTGGAGTGAATACAATGGATGGGGGTTGGGTATTTATAGTATTAGAGCAATTTATAAAACTAAGATTAGATGATTTATTATAAGAGTACTGCAAGAGTGGTTTATTTTGATTGCAATTGGTTTCCCATTTTCTCTTTCAGTATTTATAAATCAAACCCTATCCTACAGCTCCATGGGATTTGTATTTAGTATAAAATATTTAATTTTAGCAATGAAAACTCTCAAATGCGCACACTCCACCACAAGGGCTATTTTTTCATTAAAAACCTAGGCATTAAATCTAATGTGCCTAAGGCTTCTGACCTGTTACTTTTGTAGCGCTACAAAGTTTGTAATAGTACAAAACAGATCACTGTGGGGTATATACATCTACACAGGCCCCTGGCTGGAGCATGACAAAGTCACCACAAAGGCTTGTTCTCTAGCCAGGGGAAAATAGGGGGCTGTTCCTTAAGCCTCCATCTCAACAAGGAAGGCCCATCAGTGAGCAAGACAGGCTTGCTTGATTAGCTATTCCCATCATAGCAACAGGCGGCAGAGCTGCCCACAAGCCATCTGTGGTGACAAGGGCTGATTGGGCAGTCTCTGCCCCCTGGTCAGCCTTTGCCCCTACTTCAGCCATTGGCAGCTGTTGCCATCATTTCAACAGATGATGAGCTGGTCTTAAGCCACCCACAGCAGCAAAGGCTGATCAGGCAGTAGAGACTCCTGCTGTCACTGTTGCCCCTGCTAGTACCCTGGCTCTTCCCTTGGGCTCTAGCAGTAGCAGCAGTTGTGCGAGAAGCAGTGGGGATGCCATAGGAACGCCTGTCAGTTGTGGTGGCAGTAGTAGGGTCCCTGCAGGCCTCCCCCAAGTTTGCCATCTGGGCAAGCAATTTAGGGAGACAGTCATTCTTCCTGCTTCTCCCTTGCAGGGGTGAGGTGGGAAGGGCAAGCAGAGCTCAGGGGAATACCATGCATGCTTCAGACCTGTATATCAAGTGTCACATAAAAAAAAGTTTCCCCACAACACAAGTGGCTGTTGGAAGCAGCAACTGTGTTGTAGATCCACCGTTTTTAATGCAACAAACTGAACGTGTACACTTCCTCTCTCTCTCACTAAAACAGTGTGTATAACAAAAAATGTGTAGTGCAAAGGCCTAAGTGGATGAGTAAAGGCATGATAGGTTGGGAAACCTACTAATATGCAATCAAAGTGCTTTTGCAAAGAGTATAATTTCATTTCTTATGAAAATTATAGAAGAGATGACAACATTTAATATCACATACCTATCTTAGGCAACAGGAAAGGACAGCTCCTTAATGAAGGGTATTGTAAATGCCCATCAAATGACAAGGAAATTTAAGTGAATAGTAGAATTGTGAATTTTCCAAGTTAATCAGGGTACATGCTTGTTGTCATCAACTATGCAACATGACAGTATGTGGAATACAGTGCCCTCAGCATTTCATGGATGCTGAATTGATGTAAAAATAAGCAGATACTTGAGTAATCCATGAAGATTTAACTTGTGGCTAGCTAATGAACTGGGAGTGTTATTATGACAGTAAATACAATCCTCAAAACTTGAAAGTATATTTCATAATGCAGGTGGCAGCATGTATGTACCCAGAATAACAGTACATCTTGCATGTTTCTACTTAATTCCTAGAACATAATGCAATTCTTTAGGGGACAAAACACGCCTACGGCATCCTTTGTTTCTCAAGATATACTAGTTTGCTCATGTAAAATCAAGCACCATTTTGATCCTCATTCTCATCAGCATGTTTGGTTTGGAAATACAGGTGTGTATTTTTGTAGTACTGGACACAACAGGAAACCTGTTGAACACAATGGGAAGACTGGTAAAACAGTATATAGTTTCAAAAAAGGTGTTTGGGGGCTAGCCTTCCTGTCAGAACATGTTCTATTGTGGGTTATGTCTCAAATGACTTTTGAGAGCAATAGTATTAAGAGCTTTTGTACTTTTTCATACCATGTTTAATCACTCATCTGCTTTGCTAATACAGAGTCTACAAGATTCACAAAATGATAATATTAAAGGATCTGTTAAGTGCCAGCTAGTATTGAGGAAAGTTGTAGTGATGTAACCTGGTACTTCCCCAACTTCTTTATATGGCAGGTCTCTTATTAAACACAGATCCTCTGTTAAACACTTCTCCCAGTTCTGATTCAGACCTTTCTGGGGAAACTTGCAGTGCTTGGTTATATAAAGATACTATTAGGACATTACCAAGAACAAGCTTAATGATCTATGGTGATGGGTTGAGTTGCTTGGACACATCGTTCCTATTGTTTAAAGCTATTGTTTACTGCATTGGGGAGAACCACCCAGGGAAGTGTTTACATTTGACATTTATTTTTATTTAAGTTCTAAAATACACATAGTGAAAATTTTCGTTCCACAAAGATTCTAATTTTTTGGTTCCAATTCATAATGGAAACCAAATTTTAAACAGCTAAGGTTCCTGCAGTATGAATATTCACTTTTCAAAATAGCTGTATTCCCCCTTGGTGGGGATTTCAAATGAATGGATCACAACATGCTGTAGCAGAGATCTAGTCTCATGAAATAAACATGCTTTAAAATCAAGGAGTAATACAGGTTTCCCTCAATTTATGCGGGTTCGATTTATGCAAATCGCTCTTATTCAATGACCCTTTTGTACCTGAAAGTCGTTATATGTGAGGTAAATTTGCATGTATGCAATTGGCATAGGCCTGGAGAATGCCATATAAATTGAGTTTGCATAAAGCGAACTTATTTTATACAGTAACATAAGAAATAGGGGTAGGTTTCCCTGTTGGCTGCTCCCAGGGCCAGCTGGGGTGAGCGTGGACAAGCAGAGTCCCTGGCGGCACGTGGCATTCACCCCAGCCCCACAGGCTCTTTGAAGAAAAGCTTCATAAACATGGCAGGGTAGTGTGGGGGGACCAACAAAAAACACCCCAACTTTAAAATAAAAATATACATACCTGAAAAGCGGAATCTGTAAAAAGGCTCCCATTTGTGGACTTTCAGTATGTTCATCCAAAGCCACATTTGTGGGTGGGTAAGGGAAGCCAGTTTCTGTAGCTAACAGTACAGAATAGGGGTGTGCGAAGTGGGCCCTATTCGATTTGGCCTGAATCAGGGACAGTGATTTGATTAGTTGATTCAGATCACTGCCCTTGATTTGATTTGACTGAATCCAAATCTGAAGATTTGATGCCAATTTGGACATAGACACAGCTTTACATGTATTTTCTACATATCTTGAGGTAGCAGGCATGGCTCATGATCACTGTGATGCTGGGGCGCATGGAGCGTCCGACAGTAGTGCAGTGGGGCCCTCCACGTGCTTGGCGGCAAACCCGGAAGTGGGTCTGCTGGGGAGTGCGTGGGGGCCCAGCAGTTATTAAACTAAAATGTACATCTTTCAGATTCATAAAATAAAAGCTAGCTTTCTTAAGCATTGTGACAGTGCATCGTGCTTCACTGAAAGTTACTTCCACTCCTTATCTAATGTTCACTTGAGTTAATGCTTCCACACTTGAGTTAATGCTTTTAGCTAGTGTTTAAGTGTCTGAGGGTGCCTATAACACATGCTGTGACATATTAGTTAACATCCTATGGCCATTTCTAAACGTGCAGCGGGGCTTAATATATGCGATGCTGCACGTTTTAATTAGAGCAGCTCTCTGGGAACCACTAGTGAAGAAGTGTCATCCTCCCCACCCTCCAGCACGTGTATAAGCACCCCTAAAGACTGTGAAATGGTCTATCAGCTTCTTCATTCTGCAGCTCAGATTTGAGTTGCATTCTTTTAGTGTAGGGTTGTTCAACTGGCAGCCCAGGAGCCACAGACTGACTCCAGAGGATCAGTGTGTGGCCCCTGAGCTCCCACCCAGCTGTTCCTCTCCACATCACTTCAGCTGCAGTAACAGCAGAGGGCTGCAGGCTCCCCTTTCCTTCCTTTCACTTCCTGCCCCAGGGCACAAGAGAGTACACTGCACTATTGCACAAGCTGCAGCCTGGGGTCCCTGCATGGCACAGGGATGGAAAGCAGAGGGTGAGACTGTGGCTTAGGCTGCATACCATGCAGAAGTACAAGGCTCTGTGGCTTGTGCTAGTGCAGGTTGTGCAGCATGTGGCTCCCATGGGTGTGACCCAGGTGTATGGCCTCTGGCTACTTAGAAGTTGGGCTAGTCCTGTTTTTGTGCACCATTGCTTCTTCCTTTTTAAAGTACCTTTCTCTTTTTCCAACCTTGATTTTTGTCCATTAGATTATAGCTAGAGGTCCTAGCTAATATTTTGCTGGGGGTTGTAAATACACTTATAGTCTAAAAAGGAAAAAAAGGGGGCACTAGGAAGGAAGCATTATAGAAAATGGGCACAGAGATTGAAGGGGAAGATTCAAATTAGGATTTAAGAGCAGGAATGGACAGTGTCCACACAACTGATTTTAGGTACCTGGCTGCAAGAGGTCACAAAGGGACACCTGAGTTCTGCATGCCCATCAAGGTAACCAAGATGCAGAAGACTGTCATTCATCACACACAGCATGCAAGGAAGGGGACACTGAATCTAGATGAGAGAAACTGGAAAGGCAAGTGCTTCAAAATTCTGCTTTTTTTCCAGACTTCAGCAGCAGTTAGGTGTGCACGTAAACACCCAAGTTGTGCCTTTGCAAGACCGGGATTCACAGTTCAGAACACACACCTTGATTTGACCACTGAAGTCACCATCCCATCATCTTTGTCCACTAGCCTAGGGTTAGGAGTACCTCACCCAGGAAGCAGCAGACTCTTAAAGCAGTAGCTCACAAGGGGCTTTACCTATATCTCCCACGGTCAGTTAAGTTTGCTAATGAACAGGCTACAGGCTCAACCAGACTGAGAACATGGTCTGCTCTTTCAGTGGAAACTAGGCCACTGACTATAAAAAGACCTTGAATCAGGGGCCAGAGAAAACAAGCACGGTGGAATCCAAATTAATAGGTGAGAGAACACTTTTGTGGCAGAAAGGAGTCCTAAATTATTGTATTATTTAGTGATTTTATTTAATAATGATTCAAAGCAACAGTCAGCCCCAGCTCGGTGAGTCCTAGGAGCAGGAGCAAGTGCTGGATTAGAACACTTCTAACTCACCATTAACTCCAGATGTCTCGCTGGTGTGACAATTCTGTTCCATAAGCCCCGCGCTAAACTATGGCTTTAGCCAAATCACTTGCACTGTGTCTCTTACTCCACAGATTTATGTCTTCATATTTAAATCCTTTCAGGTATGTTATTGAATGTGATCCACTCAATCCAAGCAACTCCAAGTTTGTTTGTTTTTTAAATGCTAATCTTAGTGAAATGTTCAGGTTAGGAAAAACATTTAAAATCAGCAGCGCACAAAATTATTTTATGCTCTTCCAGAAAGTTTTATTTTGGGGGAAATACCCTTATACCTTATCCTCCGAATTGGGGCGGTCCAACTCCTAAGTAGCTGGGGGCTGCGGGAGTTGCCATGCACTGCAGGCTGCATGCAATGCGAGTCCCCCATTTCTCGCTGTACTGCACAGGCCACCAATGCTCTGCGTATGTCCCCATAACCACACTGCGTGAGCCCTCAACACACCGTGCAAGTCCTCACCACAGCATACAGGCCCCCAATGCATTGCATGAGTATTCTCTACTGTACCACATGGGTCCCGGCCACAGATGTGCCACACCTGCAGGTGCACGTGTGTGTGCAAGACAGCTCCCCCCTGCAGTCCCTGCCACATCATCCTTACTACACAGCAGGCAATTCCTGCTATATTGCTAGTGCCAATGCCACACAGGGTCCTCCACAGTCCTTTGGCCACAGGCTCCCTCACCCCACAGGTGCACCCCTCTGCTTCATCTCCTGGGGTGGAGACAGGCAGCAGAAGCTGGAAGAGAGAGGCAGAGGTGGGGACTTCAGTGGCAGCAGCAAAAAGCAAAGAAGGGATGCTAATACTCCCCAGGAATTTTACGTTTGGTCTCATTTTATCATGAGCTTTCTCTGCACCGAATGTGTACTGCATATGAAAGCCTGTCCAAAATTCAATAAAAGATACCACAAAAAAACCAGAAGACACCTTGTCTGAAGACAACGGAGCTATTGCACAACTGACCCAAGAACACTATGAGAGGGAAAGGGATGGCCCAGTAGTTAGGAGGGAAGCCTGGGACTTGGGAGACTGTTCTCAAGGTCATTAACTTGCAGCATATCTGAGATTGAAGGTGGATATTTAGTTAAATGCTTTGTAGTTCAGGCCAGTGCCTGGTTTAAAAGTAGTACCAGGAATTAGAAGCTCTCACCACTATTACTCATTTTAATTTATTAGTTGCAGAAAATGTCTTTTGTCATCAATGCTGGGAGGCATCTTGCCACACTGACTTGAAACAAAGTTGGCAGAAGGATAAGCCAACATTAATGTTACCTAGGAGAATAAAAGTCAGGATACACATACAACTAAAGACTCTACTATAGGAAGCTCGCTTTTTTTTTTTTTTTTTTTTTTTTTTTTTAAAAGGGTGGAGGGTAAGGGGAAAAGGTTTCTTTATAGAAATTTCTCCAAGGAAACTGCTCAGCAGTACATGCATTAAAAAGGTCCATTGTCTACATGTAAAACAGGCTGAAACTATTGGAAATCAACATCCTTGACTGCTGCTTTTTTGTTGCCATGTTCACTCAAATTTACCACTGCTGCAAGTTTACCAGCCCCTTAAAAAGGAACAGGGACTACTGCAAGACAAGGAAGCAGCACTTAGCGTTGTCCCGCAATCCATGCAAAAGCAGAAATCTAGGAAACTAAAACTGGGCTGGGGCGGGGGGGAGGGAGGGGGGTGGGGGAAGAAGACAACATGTAGGATCACACCAGGAGTTGCTTCCTTGCCTGCATCCTATTCCACCCAGTGAGGTAACCCCTTTCCTCCTCCTTGAACACCACTCACTTCTGGACTGGGATGACATAGCTATTCCACACCAATATCAATGCAATTGGTGTTTCTTTTGTCATAGGGACAACAAACATATAGCTTCTTCAGTTACCAGACATGGAAGCATTAAAAGTAGACAGACAGACCTGGAGTTATAAGGACTAACTTCATAATAGTAGGAACTATTAGCCAATTAGAACAAGGGGCATATACTTGTATGTTGGAATATTGTGATCCTGGTTATAAGTTTTGTGTTTTTCTATAAAACAAAGACAATGCAATTAATTTGTACTTGTGCACACACAATAGGTGCTCACCTCATCCCAAAGACATTTATCATACAATATACAGAGTGCTTTAGGGCTAGGAACAAAAATTACACATAAACAGGTATAAGTGATCAGAAACTGGTTCAAATCTGTAACACAACAGAAGTTTAGTGCACATAACTGCTTTCAAAATGGCTGAAACCAGTTTAAGATAAATCTGGATGCATATACTATCAGACTTAACTGATTTAGGTTAAACTAGTTTACTGAACTTGTCCCAGATCCCCTCCAGATTCAAATTAACTCAGATCCCCAGCATCCCAGAATGCTTTGCACCTCCCCTGCAAACCCCTGTTAGCAGGGTGGGTAGGCTAGCTTTGGCCCAATCTATATGTTTCAGCCAAGCAGGGAGG